GAGGTACTTAGATGGTGAAACAGCTAGCCAGACTTGGGCAGTTTGGCGTTGCCAGAGCCAAGCAGGGCACCTACCAAATGTCAGATGCATCCTCTCTGCAGAAATTGCCACTCACTGCAAGCAAAGCATTCAGAGTTTGGCACAGGCTCCTGTCCCCGCTGTGAGTGTGCCCGTCTTTGTTTGCTCTTGTGTTTATCCTCCATGGCAACACATCTAGCGTCCTTGAGTCCTCTGCCCATCGCTCTGGTTCCTCTCTCAGATGTCTTGCTGGGGAAAGCTCCGAGGAGTGAAAGACCTGGGGAGATTGTGCTGAGCCACATTTCAGTGTAGCTCGTCCTCAGTTACAGAGTCAGCTCTCCATTATCTGGGCGAGCAAGAAGCTGGAGCATTGTGAGTGTTGAAAAAGCCTGGAGAACATGTAAGCTGTGGGAGTTGTGGGTGCTGAGAACAAATACACCGCAGCAGCCCTGCCCAAGAGCATCACAGATGTCTCTCCATCTGCAGCATAATGAATATTGGTATTTTCAGAGGGCCTGGTATTCAGTGGTTGCCATTTTATGCGTTGATGCAAGCCTGCCATGCCTTTAAAACACAGAGAGTATGTGTCAGCTGAGGGATGCTGAGTGATATGGTGATACTGGGCATTGGGAGACGAGACTGCAGGACCTGGAGCCCTGTTCCTGGTCGTGGGAACTCAAGCCCACATACACACCCACATAGATGCTTCTGTTTTGGCACAGGCTTTACTCACCTGAACTCCACAGAAAACTTGAAAGAGCAGGTGAAAAGGGGTTTTGGTAAGGCTGCAGGCAGGCTGTGAGGATAATTAATAGGGATCACAGGAAGGGTTGGTGACATCTCCAGGTGGGCAGGGGAAAGTCGAGTCAGAACATGTAGAGAGCCTTTCATGACAGCGGATGGAGATGATGATGTCCTGGCCTCACAGCCGGGTACCCTGCTGGAAATACACCCACGAAATCAGTGCATGCCAGGAGCTGGCGTGAATAAAGTCTAGTGGCCTGACTAAGGGTCAGGGAATTTGCAGGGTCTTATCTTGGTTAAGTCACTGAGTCATGACTCGACTTGAGAGGGGGCACAAGACCTCCTGGGCTACGAATCAGTGCAGCTGGAAAATAAAGAGTACTGTAGATCCCACTAGAAAACAGGAAAGGGAAATTTCCTGGGAAAACCAATCGAAATATGGCTGAGCTGTTGACCAGAACTGCATCAAACAAAGCACTTAGGAGCTGCCTGTCTTGTTCACGCTGGTGAAGAGCTGCGCTTCTATTTGGCGGGACTCCCCTTAGCCACACACTGCCCGGGGTGAGCAGCAGAACAGCTCACCTGGACTTTCTCCCCTCTGCCACAGGCATCCCAGAGGATCTCCAACCAGCTGCACGGAACCATTGCCCTGGTGAGACCCGGCACCAGACCCTGCCTCCTGGAAAAAAGTCCTTTGGGGGCAGCAGTGTCCCCACCAGCAAGGAAGACTCCTCTCCCACCGGAGAATGAGCACAGCCCCAGCCTTGAGGCGTGAGTTACCTGCTCGTGGGTCATGGTGTGGGCATGATCCATGGCCCGTTGCAGCTGTCCCACCGGGCAGACTGTGATGAGATGGCCGGTATTCGCTGTATCTGCCCATCTTCTTCCCCAGACTTCTCCCATAGCCTGGGGGGGGGGTGGGAGGTCTCCCAGTTTACACCAGCAAAAAATGACTGGAATCCAGCCCGACGAGATCAGCCTCTTGTTACTCCAGCTTCACTCTGTCAAACAGATCCATAAAGGGAACTGGGTGCCCCCAGCTCCAGCTGGGAGAAGAAGGACTTGCCTCACTGGAGGCAGCAATCCCAGCTCCTCCTTATCTTTTCTAATGGGCTCAGCAATTCCTGGGCTTATCCTCCCCATGGATTTCAGAAGCAGAAGGCTGAGCAAAGCCAGTGAGTTCACTCGTAAAGACAGCGAGTTTCCCAGAGTGGGAGTGGATCTGCTGAGCATTCCCAGGAAAACCTCGCACACACAGAAGCTGCCAAATAACCAGCAATAGCAGGGACTCAGTTTGCAGGGCAGATTCATACACCATACCAACCTTCTCAGCACTGCTGTAAAAATCTCCCATTAAGTGAGATTAGGGGAGGGTGGGCTGTTCTTCTGTCCTGGAGGTCTTCAGGCCCACCAAGGCACTAAGAAAGCCCAATGCAGGGTGGTTAGGATGTGTCTGGCTGGTTTGACAAGTGATTCTCGGCAGCAGTGCTGATGTGAGCAGTCACCTCGTCCCCCCCCACTCGCTGCTGATGTGAGCAGTCACCTCGTCCCCTCCACTCGCTCGGCCCCCTGCCTGGAGCTGCCGTGGCCCTGGGACAGGAGGGCGCTGTTGGAGGGTGGGATGGTGATGGCTTCGTGCAGCGTGCACGGCGCCGAGACCCGCTGCCAGCTGCCTGACCCCTGCAGCCACCGGGACCCTCCTCCCCAGCCCAGCACCTGAAGGCAAGCGTGATTCATGGGCCTAGAGCTACAACAGGCAGCAGGGCACGGAAAGAGCAGGAGAGACGGCACACGTCACCTGCAGGATCTGGGAAATCCCATGAAAATTCTCTAATTAACATGATCATTTTTTTCCTGCTTCTTTTAGTTATTTAACAGCGGGCAAACCGGACTCCCCCAAGGTTGCTCCATCCTATGAAAACCTAAAACTGACTGCCCGGAGAGAGCAGCTCTGCCTCCTCCACAAGCACCTTTCCCTGCACCAGCTGGGGCTGGTGAGCAACTGTGCCTAGGCCGACCAGGGCAGCTTCTCCAGCCATTTGCTCAGGGCCAAAGACGCCGACGGCAGGACGCGGTTGCGTGATGGCTGGGAAGATCACGCCGCCTTGCTGAAGCTGCCTGCTGCCATGGTGTACGTGAGGGATCAGCACTTGGAGGAGAAGCTGCACCTCCTCAAGCACAGGGAGAGGCTGCAGCATTTCCTCATGCAGCAGTGCCAGCCAGGCCAGCAGGCAGATGGAGACACAAAGCCCATGCCCGAGGAGCGGCCCCTCTCCCCATGGCCAAGCATCACGCCGGGATGCAAGGAGGAAAAGACTTTCCTGGAGGATATTGCAGATGTGAAGGAGAAGAAGGAGCTTTGGCTGAGCCGGGACAGCTCTGAGCTGCGAGAAAAGGCGAAGGTGGCAAGGGACGATGGCGCAGATGTGCCGCTGGATCTGTCAGACTCCGGCCGTGGCAGAGAAACGGGCTGGC